TTCAAGTTAAGAGTGATTGTGTAGACCGTAAGAAGGATCATCCAAGATGCAACCATTACAATAAACTTGGACATACTGAGGACAAATGTTATGACCTTGTTGGATATCCAAGTGACTGGAAAAAGACAGGGAGAGATCGACGAGATAAACGTGCCACACCAAAGGCAGCACAAGTGCATGGCGAAGTAAACGGAAGCCCGATCCCTGGTCTCACGTATGATCAATATGACAAGTTGATGCAATATTTAAGCTTGAACCCTAAGGAAGGGAAGGTAACTCAACCAGCGGCAAACATGTCAGGTAATTTCTTAATTGATGAGCAGTGGATAATAGACACAGGAGCTTCGGTCCACATCACCAATAATAGAACACACTTGATGGGGCTACAAAAGGCGTGTTCACTGCCTATAAAGATACCCAATGGACAAGCAATTCCAGTCAAAGGGATAGGAAGTGTTGTACTCTAACTGCAAATGAAAATAGATGATGTTTTATATATTCCAGATTTTAAGTGTTGCTTATTTTCTGTTAGCAGATTTATTAGAGATTTCAATTGTGTCGTGGCATTCCTTGCTGACTTTTGTGTAATTCAGGAGTTGAGTTCGAGGAACCTAATTGGAGTAGGTAAACACAGAGATGGCATGTATTATTTAACACCGCTACAGTAAGGGGGAGTTGCATTAGTAGTACATGGAAGTGACACACGAGATCTATGGCATTCAAGATTGAGTCATGTGTCTTTAGACAAGTTGAAGTAGATTCCTTTTTGTTCTCAGTTTTTTAAGAATAAATCTGATATGGGTCATTGTGATTCATGTATTCGGGCTAAACAAACTCGTTTGCCATTTGGCATCAATAAAATCTACTTTTTGTTTTGATTTAATCCATTGTGATATTTGGGGCGGTTACAGAACTCCATCGATATCTGGCAATCATTATTTTCTGACAATTGTAGATGATTTTAGCAAAGGTGTTTGGGTATATCTCTTGAAAAACAAATTCAATGTTCCTTATTATTTGCAGTGCTTCATCAATATGGTTGCTACCTAGTTTGATAAACAGATTAAACAGATACGGGCAGACAATGGCCTCGAATTTCAATTGACTGCTATGATGAGCTTCTGTGCCGAACGAGGAATAATACTACAGACTACATGTGTTCACACATCGCAACAGAATGGTGTCGTAAAGCGAAAGCACCAACATATTCTAGAAATTGCAAGGGCCTTGAGATTTCAAGCCCACCTTCTAGTAGAGTTTTGGGGTGAGTGCGTATTAACTGCTACCTACATCATCAACCGTTTGCCTTCTAAGTTCTCAATGGCAAAACACCATACGAAGTCCTCTTTCAACAAAAACCATCATACAGCCACATGAGAGTGTTTGGTTGTCTTGCATACACAAGGCATCCAGTGCAACATGACAAAATGGATGAGCGAGGCCATGCTTGTATCTTCGTTGGCTATCCATCTGGTAAGAAAGGGTACCTGCTCTACGATCCTTCTACACAGAAGAAGCTTGTCTCTCGCGATGTCATCTTTGTTGAAAGTGAATTTCCCTTAGCCAAGTCGGCACCACCTACCATGCGAGTACATTCTGAACCTCCCATCATTGATGACTCACACGATACTCTAGTTCCACAACCCACTCTGACTATACAGCAACATGATGAAGAACGCACACGAGATGCACCTGTAGATGATAGTTTTGCCACACAACCTTCAGGTGATACCGTCACTCAACCTCGTCACAGTCAACGTGCTCGCACCCAGCCACGTCACCTTGAAGACTATGACATAGATCTCCCTCCTTCCGTCTTTCCCCCTGATCAGCCATCTTGCAATACCACTTTATCATGTTCCCGGTAAAGTATCCTATCACTCAGTTCATTAATTATGATCAGTTCTCTCCTTCATACAAAGCTTTCTTGGTAGCCATCGCAGCCCATGATGAGCCCAAAACTTTCTTTGAAGCATGCAGACATGCTCACTGGTAAGTTGCCATGAAGGAAGAGATTGCAGCTCTTGAAGCCAATGGTACTTGAGAGTTGGTGCATCTCCCTCCTAACAAACATGTTATTGATTCCAAGTGGGTTTTCAAAATCAAGTATCTACCCTACGGAAAAATCAAATGTTACAAGGCCCGATTGGTTGCCCGCGGTTTTACGTAAATCCCTGGTGTTGACTTTCATGAAACTTTCGCGCCAGTAGCAAAGCTCGTTTCTGTCTATTGTCTTCTTGCTGTCACTGCTAAACGCAATTGGCTTGTCTATCAACTAGACGTCAACAACGCTTTCCTTCATGGTGATCTTGATGAAGAAGTACATGCGCATCCTCAAGGGTTCGCTCGTGAGGGGGAGACACGAGTATACAAGCTGAAGAAATCCCTTTATGGCTTGCGTCAGGCCTCACGTAATTGGTATCATAAATTCACTCAAACATTACTTCATATTGGTTACAAACAAAGTAAAGCAGATCATTCACTGTTTGTCTTCCGAATTGCAACGTCCTATGTTGCATGCTTAATATAAGTGGATGATGTATTGCTAGTTGGAGATGATAAGAGTAAGATAGAAGAGACAAAGCAGTACCTAGACAAAAGATTCAACATTAAAGGAAAGTACACGCTAGACATTTTAAAGGAAACAAGCATGATGAATTGTAGACCGAGTGCTTTTCCAATGGAGTAGCATTGCAAACTACAAAATGATGAGAAAGAACCTGACGTAGATGCAGGACGATACAGAAGGTTAGTTGGAAAGTTGCAATACTTAACAGTAACATGACCAAACATAGTCTACGCTGTAAACACCTTGAGCCAATTCACAGCCTCGCCTAGACATTCACATATGGTAGCGATGGAGAGAGTGCTGAGATACTTAAAATGCACCCCAGGGCAAGGCATCATTCTCATATCGGAGGGAAATCTGGAACTTGAGGCCTATTGCGATGCAGGTTGGGTAGGATGTCCATTAACCTGTCGATCGTGTAGTGGGTATTTTATGTCATTAGGAGGCTCACCTATATCTTAGTGGTCAAAGGAACAAAATGTTGTGGTGAGATCGTCAGCCGAGGCAGAGTACAGAGCGATGGCAAGCACAGTGAGTGAAGTAGTATGGTTATGGTGGCTACTTAAAAAGTTGCAGGCAACACAAAGCAGAGCAACGCCACTTTATTGTGACAATCAAGCAACGCTACATATAGCCATGAATCCGGTCTTCCATGAGCGAACCAAGCATGTGGAAATGGATTGCTATTTTGTATGAGAGAGATACCAATCAGGGGAGATAATTCCACGTAAGATATGGACAAAAGACTAGCTAATTGACATGTTCACCAAGGCACTTGGAAAGGATAAACTCAAGTTACTCTTGGGCAAGTTGGGCATCACGAATCCACATGCACCTACTTGAAGGGGAGTGTTAGAATCCGTTGAGAGATATTCGGAGAGATATTAGAATATTCAATGATTTAATATATGTGGGATATGAGAGAGAAAGAATCGGTCAAAGATATTGCGTATGATTTGTATAGATAGGATAAGATGGTGGCCCACGTCTGCTATGTATATATATAGACGAATGAGAAATAATATATACAGTTTCAATCACCAAATCTATTATAATAGAGGAGAAGCAAGATCACGCTGATGCCGCAAAGCTATGATGAGTGACTCCAATTCTGGCAAATAGTCCGACAGCAAAGAGAGGGCTGCTCGCTGCACCACTGCTGCTTAAACAAAGTTCAGTTGCTGCAGGCATTTACGCAGGGAGGGTTGAAGGTGAGAAGAGAAAGATGGGGAGGGAGACGACAGAAATTTAGGGCTAATTTCTGGCCAGAAGGGCAACTTACATATATCTTTTAATATGTTGCATATTTTAGTTTTTTAAAAAATAATACTGTATATCCTGTCCCTTTTAATATTTTGTCCCGTCAAGTCTTGGAATTGTCTGAAAATTTTTTTCCCATACCATCCAGTCCTAAAATGATTGGGACCGGGACAGACTTATTAAGATGCGACAAATTAAACACCCTTATTTTCTATGACTCCACATAGTGATACTACTTAAATCGATCCCTCAAACTTCATATCACAGGAGGTGAAGAGATGGCATTGAGCCACAAGGACCATTAATCAGAAAACTCCTTTTGTTTTTTTTTTTAATTACACTACAAAACATCAATTCCAGATTGCTTGTTGGGTTGTCTATTAATGTAATCCATATATGTTCTTTTTCCATTGGACAACAACTGAAAGATAGGAGCATCTTTGCATGCCCGGCAATGGGTAAGCGGTATGATGTAGCAGCAAACTACTTCTTGTTTCTAGACGAAGGAGTTAGTTGGAGAGTAATTAGGAGTATTTGGAAGAAAACCAAATCATGATTTTAAAAAGTGATTTTACGATATACGAAGTATGTAAAAAAAAAATTATTTTGACTTGCGTAAAAACACTTTTTAAAAGTACTTTTTGTGATTATCAAGCATGAGTGTGTTTAAATGGAACCCAAACCATGATTTCAAAAGTAATTTTACGTAATACGAAGTAAATATGTGGAGAAATTTGTTTCGATTTATGAAAAAATATTTTTTAAAAGCACTTTTCACAGATGCCAAACACCCCCTTAATGTTAAATGTAAGACCTCATTTTGTTTTGTTTCTCATATTTAAATGTACCAAACACCCCCTTAATGAGCCTTCTAGTAATATACCGCGAACAAGAACTTATCTTTCTTATTTCCATGCACCCAACCCAGCTATATGCAAAGGACGTCACGAGGAGGAAGAGATATGACAGTAATATAGAAATGGAAAGGGAAAAAAAAAAGTACCTGCAAAATGTCGAGGCTCCACCCGATTGAAATGCCAACGAGAAAGTCGAATGTTACGTCATATTGCAAGAGAAGAAAGGAGAGAAGAATCAGAGGACAACCCTTGGAGTATCATCGAACATCGCTGGCTGGGGGTTTAAGAAGCGCAGCTAGATCACTCATTGACACTCGGCGAGGAAAATCATCGGGTACATAATCAAAAACAAAACTTCCAATGTTGTCAAAAGGATTTTAGATTTTTGGTGTGTCTTTCGTCTGTTTGTTATTGTCAACATACCAAGATTGCTCATCACCTTATAAGCTAACATGTTTCCAAGCAGGTGAGCCATGCTAATTACGCAAATTCTTGCCAACATTCCACAATTTGCTAGAGAAGGCCTATTCGGGGGTTAACTGCTTAGTCGGCAAACTAAGATCCTGAAAGAGAAAACGTGTCCCAGCGTTCAAAAAAGTGTTTTTGATACGCTAAAGAAACATCCTCGAAAAAAAAAAACCGTAATCAACAAAATGCTATGACAGAATAAAGCTAAACAAATGTGCCCAGCTGTTCCTAAAACCAGTGTGAACCGAAACCTCTGGTTGTGTGAAGAGTACATACGACATTTCCCAATGTTTTAGACATTTCTCTCCCCTGAAAATTGTTAAGTATGATGCAGTCAGCCAATACACATGCATAAATTCAGAAAACAACAGTGAACTTTTTTTTTTTTTTGACAATCACTAGAGGTAATGAAAACGATTAAGATACAGAAAACAACTGCATTTAAAGCATTATGTTTACAACATAACATATCGATGATATCTTCAAATATTATAATATGAAAATAAAAGACTCAGTAATCCAACTCCAATCACTTCTAAGCAAATAGTCTGAAAAAGAATTTCACTTAGAAACCATGTCGGTTTTTGATGCAACCCACTGCTATAAGCCTACTATCACCACCTCCCATCATTGTCGACCAACAATGCCATTGAAACCACCTTAGATTGAAACTGGACCATGAAAAACCTTGAATTTTTTAGGCCTAAGCCAAAGGCATGGTTGCATAGTTGCATTAGATAGTCTACATACACCATAATAAAAGCAACTGAGGGGGGAAAAATTACACGGTAGTCAAACTGAAATAATTTGAGCTTTAATATACATTTTTTAATGAATAGTACATAATTAGTTAGTTATACTCTTCCTCAGGACAAATGTATGACCCAAACCAACATAATCCATTCAATAAAATTACAGTAGTAAGATCCACATGAAGATTATTCATAGATCAACAAGTGATAAAGTAAGAACCATGAGAGTTGGAAATTTAGCAAATAATGTACTAAAAAAAAAAAACAAATAAAGTGCCGCCGCTAAAGATCTCCAAACAATAAAAGAGACAAAGTGAGTAGGGATGTCTTACAGTAAATGCATTTTAACGAACCTTCCCAAATCTCTCTGGGATTTTGGTCATCTCTTTTGAACGGCTAGAAGAGCTTATCCAACAAGGGGCTCCTAATCTGTCACTGTCACTTGGAGATGATCTCTCAAGGTAAGTGAGCATAAAAGAATGAGAAAATACAAACATCACCACAAGAAGATTATAATACAAATAAATAAACATCATAGAATATTTCAAAAAAGTCAAGGTCATACACAAAGCAACTGAAGGATGCAAAAACAGGTGCCTTCACATCCAAGAGTGCCAACAGTCTCTATAACAGGAACGCTTTATTTTCCTCTCACATCTGCAACAAGACATTAGTATTACATCCAGAATTGAGAACCACTAAAGAGGAAGAAATGCCTGCAAAAGGTGTTGCAAGATATCAAAAGTGAAAAAAAAAAAAAGGTGAACTAAACAAAATTACACAAATATTCAGAAAGTCCCACAGTTTTAGTGACGAAGCAGAGTTGCAATACCAACATCAATCAATGCCAGGAAGCCAAAGTATTGGCCTGACCTTCTTGCGGTGGTATCTAACCATAACAGCCTGGAAGCCAAAGCATCATAAGAAGAAAATCAGATATTTCACTACTGTAGCATTTTAATAGAAAAAGCAAAAGCAAAAGCCACGAAACAAAACACATTGATGACGCTAAATGACTAGGAAGTCACGGTCCTCTGGTGAAGGTTTGGCATAAATTTCACTTGAGACTCCCCCCAGCAAACAATAATTTACAATTAAAGCATTACATAAATAACAATATATAAATTGAAGACTATATCAAAAGCACCTGTAGATCCAGCCACACACCAATAGAATAAAGCCAAAAAAACGTGCCCACCTGTTCTCAAAACCAGTGTGAACCGAAATCTATGATTTTGTGCAGAGGATCTATTACATTTCCAACTGTTTTAGACATGCTTCTCCCTTGAAAACATTATCATGCAATCAGTCTACACGCCAGAGTTCACAAAACAATTGTAAGTCATGAGTGAAGTCCCAAAGGTGAAATTAGAACATCCTTACGTCTTGAAAGAAGGATGGCAGGGAAAATCAGAGGGTCAAAAACTGTCTCAAAAATGAAATTTTGAATGAAAGCATTTAAATCATTATTTTTGCAGCAGAATGGTTATCTTGAGAAATTATTAATATGCAGGTAGGAAAGCATTATTTTTGAATGAATGCAATCAGAAACCATTTCGGCTTTTGCTGCAACCCACTGCTATAAAATGAGATGGACTTAAGTCTGAGCTTATGTCCATTAGCTTCTATTTGCAAAGCAACGTGTTTCAAAACTTCAAAATTTTCATCCTTTGCCGCAGAATTGTTACTGTACATTTCTATTCCAAGCAATGAAGGAAGTCTAAGCTCAACCTGGGTCTGGGCTCAAACTTGAACTTTTCCATTCAACCCAGCTCAAATTCAATAACCAAGTTTAGCCGGCCGCCACTGCCATCGTCATTAGAATCCAACCTGTCACCACCACTCATTTGATATGACCAACCATCCTTTGCCACTTTTTCCCCAGTATAACTGAAACAAAGGGACAATTTTCCGTAAGATATTTTTCTAATGGAACCGACAACTGATAAACTTTTGATGAAATTATAATTTTAAAATGAATTTAAAAATATGATAATAACATAAATGAATTGAGCGCTTTAGGAATCTAAAACTATTGACTGTCTCTTCCTGTAGGAATAAAATAAATGACCAATGGACCACTAAAAACAATCTACCCATATTTTGCAAATTGCTAACAGAAGTTAACAGTGGTCATATTTTGGAAGTCTGGAAGCCATGATGCATTACCTTATCAATGTCTTACTCTTATATGTTTCCAGCTGCAAAGTCGTGCTTAAGGTTCTGCCTTGATCTGTTGCTTACGATAACTGGGTCTAGTTAAAGGAGGTTCTTAGCCAGCAATGTGCTTCAACTCAAAATAAGATACTGTCGTCAATTGTTTTTGAATCATCAGGCTTCAAACAGCAAGCAATGAACGAAGCATGCTATGTTTGCAATAGTTTGGTGTGCCTGACTCCAAAGAATGCTAAAAGTTTGAAATCACTGTTTTTCGGCAACTTTACCTCCCCATATAATAGGCCTTTTGGCTTCACCCGAGAGCTCTACCAATGACATATTCAGATATATCCCAACAGCTGGTATTGAATGGGAAATGCAAAAACTTCAACACTAATATTTCTTCACTTCCTTTCACTCTTTCCGGAAGGCATTAGGCATTCTATCCTTGGTTTACTTGGTGGCTGATTCCTCTCATGCTAAACTTCATCAATATATTTAAAACACCAATAGAAACACGAGTGCATGTATAGACAAAATATCATGAACACGTGACCTGTTGCTAATGCATTAAGGACAGTTCATTTCAATTACAATGACAGAAAAAAAAAAAAACATGATTGAGCCCAGTTCTACCGATGTGCGCAAGCCCAAAAAATTCTCCTACCTTTCGATTCATTAGGAGAGCCACATCACCAAATGAAGTCATTGGTTGTAGCCACTGTCAAGAAATCACTGCTGGCCATTAGTTATCAAGATATCATTGCTCACAGCAACATAATTTTTAAAGGTGCATCGGCTGAGAAAAAATAAAGTTCATTTCAAAGCTTCACAATCAAATCATCAAATCCAAATGACATGAGCATAATATCAATTTATGCATCCCCCGGGTGTAGTGATTGAAAAAAAAAAAAAAAAACCAACATATTCACTTTAAACAGGAAGAAAAGCAAGAAAACAGATTTGAAATTCAAGACCATATCAAGCTAAATTTTTTTAACTATGCTGCTTCCAGAAAATCACAACCATGGATATAGTCTTCAATAGTAGCTCCTCCATAATGTTCATTGATTTTATCAAAAAGTCAAGCTCATACACCAAGAAACTGAGGGATGCATAGAGAGATAACATCACATTCTAAAACTTGTAGCATATCTGCTGGGAGAAAAACCACCAGTAGTCTCCATAACGGGAACGCTTTATTTTCCCTCCACATCTACAACAAGACACTAGCATTATATCCAGCATTGAGAACTACCACAGACGAAGAAATTCCATGCAAAAGGATGTGGCGGTATTTAACCATAATAGCCTGCAAGCCACAGCATTATAAGAATAAATCAGATATTTCTCTACTGCACCATTTTAATAGGAAAACCAAAAGCTAAAGCGACCAAATAGAACACATTTATAACTCTACATGGATATTACTAGGAAGCCACGGTTCCCAGGTCAAGGTTTGGCCTAAATGACTCTTGATACTCCCACCTACAATTAAAGAATTATATGAATAACAGTATATAAATTGAAGACTATATCAAAAAACACTTCTAGATCCAGCCACACACCAATAGAAAACAGAACAAGGAAAAGCCACATTCCAGTATGCCCGCATGCCAAGATACAGAGGAGTTACCAGCCCAAAAATTATATAACCGGGCACCTCATTCTTCAGCACAGCCATTCAGACTCAAAAAATATTGCAATAAATAAATAAAAACAAAACAGTTCGCAAAGAACAAAACTTTAGATGAATTTACTCGTTTCCCTCGATAATCCGTGCTTGTTAATAGCATAATTCTCGCAAACTTCACAATACATGCCGCATAGCAGATCTCCCAACATTATCATCACCAAAGTTGCTCCACCGCACTCCCAGGACAAACCAACAGCTCCTCATCAGGTTCATTTACGCGCCAATCAAATGTTTAATTGTTCCATTACCGCGAGAGACGTATTGACTGTCAAAGGACTTGCTTCACAAGAAGAGGTATTTAATTTAAGTTAAAACTAAATCCCAAAGCAAAAACAAGAATATCAGCACAATCATTGACTCCATAAAGAAAATACTGTGTAAAACATCAACAAATTACAGAAATATAGGCTTTCAGTATTAATAGAAAAAATGCCAATTATAGATACGCTTTTCTGCAGTAAAGTCGAATGTGAAGACGCCATTCTCTGATGCAGTAACTGAAATATAAAAACGGATGCCAGTCATTGCAAAAGAATGAAATACTCCGTTTTCGCCAAAGCTAAAAGCTATTGTAGCGATTGACATTTTTAACTACCAAAAAAAAGAAGTTCATGGAAAGAGTTTAGAATTTCGCTTTCCGGTGAGAATTAAACTATTCTTCCCCTCAAACAGGGAACTTAAAATTTTAGCCTACCAATTTGCTTAAAAAACAAAGAAGCAAAGAAAAAAAGGGTCTTTTTTTTTTTTTTTAAGGAAGCAAATGATCGTATTAACAATAAAACGATTAAGATATGGCAGCTCTAATGTCCAAGACAAGAAAAAGAAGTAATAGGAAAAAAAAAGAAAATAAAAAATGCTTTTAGCCAGCAACATTAACTAAAATTCCACAAGCGTACGACAAGTTACCTGATAGACGACCAGCGAACAACCCCGAGTCTACACAAATAGCAAAATACATACTGAAGAGAGTGGCGGGAAAGCAAAAACAAAGTACGACTCTTGGAGTATCATCCGACATCGGCGAGGAAAATCATCAGATACATAATCAAAAGCAAAACTTTAGATATTGTCAAAGATTTTTAGATCTTTACTGTATCTTCTTCTGTCTCGTAGTAAATGTATTTTTACGAACCTTCTCAAATGAGAAAGTATGAACATCACCATAAGAAGATTATAATACAATTAAATAAATAAGCCTGTCCCCGCAAGCACAGCCCACACTTGATGATCCCTGGCGCTCAATGGAGGGGGGAAAATCATCCATCGTCAACTATATATATACCCCACACAAAAGTATAATGCGTGGGTCTCAAGCAATCAATCAGAAGCCTTTATTGAACTATAGAGCTTAGAATCAATCAACGAAATCAATCGTGTAACGTTCAAATTACCAGTTAAAAGCATTTATTGAACTACCGTTTAGAATAAATCAATCACTAATCAATCAGGTCAATCACGTAACGATCAAATCAGTAACGTTTAAATCAGAAGCATTGTTCAATGCAAACTTATTTTTTCCTTATTAAATTCGTAACCCTATCATATTGGGGTTATTAATATATTAGAAGGAAAATTCGTCGGCAAAAAAAATATATATGTTAGAAGAAAAATTACTTTACATAATTTTTTAGAAGCTAAATACACATAAAAAAATATTTTAAGATGTTAAATGTATTTTTTAAGGTGACAATGTACCTTTTTTATAATAATATTGAATGTACCTTCCCCAGGCAAGATAAAAAAATAAACTTTGAGAAAGTCCATGATGTTCAATCTGTTTTTAAC